TCATGAAGGATAGCTTTAAGCAGTTACCATAATGGGTATATATAGTAAATGATAGGGTCTCCCCGAGATAGTAACTTAAATTAAGTTCCTTAACAGCAACTCGGATATTTTGGGATTTGCTCACTCCTTACATGTACGTAAACACTCCCTAAGGAAGTTCCCCTACAATTTTCTTGTAGATTCTTTTTACACCTAGGATCCTCAAAGTTTCCGTATTTTCAGAAACTCCATCTTAATTACTTTCCTGTTCTGTGTACAGTTTAAAGAGGAACCCACCTGCAGTCAGATTTTGCATCTTTCACGCAGGAAGCATCAGTGGAGAAGGACCGACAGATGATCTTTAACCTGGTAAGGGCTCAAGAGGGAGGCTTTGATGGCATCAACGCCCTGGTGAAGAGACACATTCGACTAGCCTTGGAGAGTGCCTTACTTGTTGTAAGTAGGGAAGAATAGAATACATTAACTTGCGGTTTCTTGTCCATTCCTGCATTCCTGCAACTATCCACCACTAAGGTGTCCAGCACTACTTCGAGCAGAAGTGCAGGCGCCTTCTCTGTGTCTTGGACACCCAGGCTGGCGTTGAGTTGGCAGACAAGACCCTCAAATCTATGAGCCAGGCTAGCTTCACAAGATCGTCCTCTGAGGCTCTTGCATCCCCGCATCCAGTACTTCTGGGACGACGGCATGCTTTCTCTGAAGATGTGTGCAGCCCTCGTGACAATGCCGAACATCTTGATGTGTGACCATGCAGATGACAACCATCTACCAGCATATCGTCCTTGCCAATGCTCCCAGCAGCCAGAATTCTTGAGAAAAAAGTTTACCGGCGGCATTCGAGAGGTCCGGGCAAGTGTACAAATCCCTGCCTAACATCAGACATCTCCTCCCACCCCCTCAACGTGTAAACCCTAACTCCTAGAACATGCCTGACTATCCAATCACCCACCCGTGGGCCCCTTAAAAGGGGTTACATGTTAGCGTGGGGAGGGTAGCGAGCAACAAGTGCAGCTGCAACTGCCACTCTGCAGTGGGTTCTGAAACCCAAGCCCCAAACCCTTAACCCCAAGCCCCTTACACCTGTCCCTACGACCTCAATCCCAAACCCCTAAATTTAAATCCCCACTGCATCCTAAATGACTACAACCTAAACGCTGAATCCAAATCCCTAGCCCCAAACTAGCACGCCAACAGTAGCCCTCGACCACGGAGGTCTTTAGATATTCGTAACCTATTTCTAAGTGTGCTCATGCGCTAATTATATCCTCAAGATAAGCCCCAAGGTCTGGAGAACGTAAACACAGTCACTAAGTTTCCAATGACAAATCGCCAGCATAACAAACAAAAACCGTACATGATTTCAGATCTCCTATTGTTTCTATACTTGAAACATGATGAAGGTTGGGACTAGTAGGAGTTTTGGGAAGGGTCAGTATTTGTTCCTGAGGACTGTCCGGACAATGAGGATCAGTCGGAATAGGATGCATGCTTAGAATTGGAGACTACGTGTGGTAGGCGTGAATATTGAGAATGTTTGGATGAGCAAGAGTTTGCCTTCCGGTATACTAGCTGTACATCTTGTGCCCCTATTGACCTTTACGCGTTATTGAGTTTTAGTAGTCTATGTGGAAGCACTACATGAAATTTCTCCAGAGGCTTATTTAAATGCCACAACAATCCGCTCTCAACCTTAGACATTAAGCCCTAAATCCTAAGCCCCTCTCAACCCTAGACCCCGAATCCTAAGCACTGAACCCTGGTTCTATGTACCCATGGACCTCCAACCAAGTCAGCATCCCGAGATCGAGCTTGCCAGGTCAGAGGCGGCCACCGAGCATCCGAATCACTTGCACTACGGTGGATACTAAAAATCCTGCATCACCCTAAGTACATTATATATTGGGAATAATGGGACTATTGTATATTAAAGTCATGCAGATTTTTAGTATCAACAGTAGTATTCTGGATTGCTGTTAAGGAACTTAAATGAAGCTATCGCAATGGAGAATCACGTGGAAACTGAGGTTGTGTAGTGGGTGTAGTGGGATATGAGGGGGTTAAATGAAGCTACCATGATGCGGATATAGTACAGGGATTTCTAGTTTTAGTAGTAGCTAGATTTAAGTTCCTAAGCAGCCACCGTACTCGACGGACGCACTCGAACTGCATGCACACGGCAAAAGGGAGCATTTCGTGGGGTCATCTTTGCAGGCTTAGGTGTACGATTTGTTGGGGCTTGAAGCAATTTAGCCGTGGCAGAGTGGGAGTCAACATGAGCTACAGTTTAAATTCCTTAAAGGGGGTTATTTGGGTGATTATATAGGGGAGTATTATAGGGGTTATTAAGGGGGATAGTAGGAGTTTAGACTACAGCTCACATGAGTGTTTCGCCAACTACCCCTTCTAAAGTCCCTGTTTGGGGCCGCATTCTGCCGAGATGGCTGTCAATTCTCGAGGACGCGCCCCGCAATTTTTCAAGCTTTAACACTTACGAATCGTATGCTCAGTGTGCACATAGTATTATTATATGAGCTATAGCCTAAACTCCTTAAAGGGGAGTGGAATAAGGATTATAGGGGACTACTATAGGGCTTATTAAGGGGGATGCTAGGAGTATCATTATATACCCACAAACCCTGTTCTGATTGAATAGACCCTTGCATTATGCTCACCTCAATGTCTGCTAAGCCTCAAACGTATTGTATTTGTGCGCTGGACGTATCAAGACGGAGTTCATGTGAGCCATAATCTAAACTCCGGAAAGGGGGTTATATAGGTTATATAGGCATAAGTCACTACTATAGGGCTTGCTAAGGGGGATACTAGGAGTTTAGAGTATAGTTCAAGGGCAGGCAAGATTCTGTATGCGGCTAGCTTTCGTTGGCCACTTCTGCCTCTGGGGCGCCCATACGGACTCAGCGCACCATGATGAGGTGCCACAGGGGAGGACTCCCAATGGTTTATGGTTTAGGGTTTAGATGATGTCCAGACTGTTGAAGCTGACTCCTAAGAAACGAATCCCTAAGCCATTCACTCACCTATGAAAGGGTTTAGGGTCGACTAGGTCGGCATCCATATGTTACCCAGTAGGTGCGATTACTTGCCGGTATAAGTGTCCGCCGTCGCCAGAAAAAACCTCCATCCAGAGACCTTCTGTAGTGGGGTTAAGGAATTAGGGCTTAGGGTTCATGGTTCAGAGCTTCGAGTTCAGGGGCTTTGTCTTAGGATCGTATTCTTATAGAGATCTTTCAGGCTTTGGGGCCTAGGTTTTCGAGGATGCAAAGAAGTCAAATCATAGTTACGGAGTTGTCATATTTACTGATACTGAGCACTTCTTATCCACACATGTTTATTGAGCAGCGCACTATTTTTGCTATTTCCGGGCTTTGTCCTTGCCAAGATTGCAGCCTGTATTTATACAGGCGCACTGAGCTGTCAAAGGATTACCGGACGTTCTTCCAGACTCAACTGTTGCGCATCAATTCTCACGCGCAGACTCTACTTGCTAAGCCCGAAGCTTCAAGTCCTTATCCCTAGTTATGCCCGAAAACTTGAAAAATCAAAATCTTAAAATCTGGATCCTGCCGCAAGGTGCTTTCAACCCTAAGGCTCCAAACCTCAAGCCCCAAAACGTGCCTGACAGCAGCCGTTTTTAAGTTTAAGAGTTTCGCAGAACTTGCAGTGCCGTATCGCCTTTGTAGCTCGCCATGGCTTCTTCTAAGGAGGAGTCTGCGGAGTATGACCCGTGGTTCGACCAGGTGGTGCAGGGTTTAGGGTTTGAACAGTTTTGGCTTGACCGCCTAGGATTGTCAGTTTACAGATATTGGGCTTTAGGGTTTGAGGTTCGGGGGGCTTAGACTCGATAGAGTTTGGGCTTCAGGATTGAAAGGGCTTAGGGTGCAAGGCTTCGAGGCCATCGAGTTTCGGCTTTAGTCACAAAGATTTTCCATCACAGTGTATGCAGTCTGTTTGTGCTAGAACGTTTTTTTTTTTTTTTTTTT